GGCAGTTCCAGAACAGATGTAAAACTGTTTCAACATGGACATTACAAAAAGAACAATTTGTCTGAATATCCTTCTTCAACTTCTGCAAATAAAAATTTGTCGGGTAACACCTGTGTAGCAATTTATGAAGTTACATTTTCGGTAGGTGTAACATTTTCGGTAGTGACACCATGCATGAACCGGATCCGGAAGCTACGGATCCAGTGACAGGGTGTACGGAAGTACGTAGTGGGTGTCACTACCGAAAATGTTACACCTACCGAAAATGTAACTTCCGCTACTACGCATGCGCACATTCATCACGCATGCGTCCACGAAACCACATTTTCTGGCACTTCTTTATTACGCATGCGTAATGTACACTTCCACAGGCCCGATACTGCGCATGTATTCACATTTTGCGGCAGACCGTGATTGCGTGATTCAGGGCTTGGACGTCGTGTATCATCATTCATTAGTCACGTACTGTATTGTGAGATGGGTCATTGATGTTTATATTTGTAGTTCAGCCGTCACTTTAGTGTGGTATTTAAACCATATTGCTTTGCCGATTGTAATATTTGCATCTGTGTGCGCGTTGTTTGTAGTGCCTGACAGTAATCTTACATAAGGTTTTTCCCAAGGGTATTGCTGAATAGATGCCTTTTCTTTAGAAAATGTAATAAAATTGGGGTGTATATCAATCTTGTGTACCCATATTGCTTATCAAGGGGCTGTGATATATGTACAGCATTTTCTAAAAAAAAAAAAAATCACACCAAAATAATAGTTAAGAACTTTTATTTGCACAACATAAACAATATTTATGTTGTGCGGTTTGGCCCAAGAAAAAACAATCGGTCGTCTGTCAGAAACAAATATAATTTGCTTTATTTAGCACCACAAGACACAGCTGCCATAACTGACACGAGTGCGTGGTAATTACACTGATACAATTAAGAAATGAAATGACTAAGGAGAAAAAAAGCAGGCTTAGTTTAAGTAACTTCACAGCACATCGAACTGGGAGTAGTACATAATGGTAACATTAAAGTAATGTCACCTTTGACTGTAAAATTGATGGCCATACCCTGTATTTTACGTTGCTCCTTCTGAAGCGAAATAAAATCTTTTAAAGTCGAAGGACTCCATCATTATCCGGTTAAATCTTCTCTTTCTTCTCGCTGTCGACATTCTTATCAAAAATCAACAGACGATGAAATGTGACGCGATGCCGTAAAAATAGCACGCCTCCTTCCAGAAGTCGCAAGCGTGCGCATGCGTAGTAGCGGAAGTTACATTTTCGGTAGGTGTAACATTTTCGGTAGTGACAGTGACAACAGTCAACAGGCTAATCAGGAAGCATAGTAAAATTTAGTATGGTGTGCACATGCGCGAAGATAGCTCGCACGTCTGCGCGTGCGCACTGCAAAACGAGGAGGAGCAGCCTTTAGTGTTTTTGTTTGTCATTTGCCTTCTAAGTTTGCGTTGTCATTGAGTGTCATGTTGGCTACTAGGTAGTAATTTAGCAAATAGGAGGCCGTACATTCCGAGTCGTTCACGAACGATTAAAAGACCATTTTTTACAACGATAATGATCCCTACTCTAATAAATACCTTTTCAAACTGTTCATTGATTTTCATGAAAACCACTAGTAAGTTCTCGAAATGCATTCGCGTGAGGTATCAGCACAGGTAAGGCAAGTTGGGTTTTAATTGTAAAACTATGTTCTACGGTACGTTGTATAAACTTGGGCACATATACTAGTGGTTGCGGTTGTGATGAGGAATTATTTTGCCTGTGTCATAAATCGATTCTGTAAAAAAATTATTTGTGTTAAAAGTAAGTTGTGGGATTTCGTCAAGAAGTGTTATGGCGTTTATATGATCATATGTTCTCCATTAAAGTCGTCCCATAAACAGGTTTATTGCAATTACTTATTAGGGTTATTCCAGCTTAATTGAAAAATGGCCTTTGCATCACCATTTTTGATTGAAAGCTCATAAAGAGTTATTTTAGTGGTATGCCTGGACTACATCTTGCAAGATAAAGGAGATGTCCAAAGTTTTCCAAAACGTTTTACACTCTTCAGGCTACATTTCAGGTTATTTTTTATTAAATTAGTGGATCAAAAGAGATTAGTGGTGTGATTTGTTTTTTTTTTCTTAGAGCCTTACAACTTATACACCCTTTTGAATAACAATATGTTTTTTATTGTTTGAAAGCAGGTAAAGAGTACATTCTTCACAATTTTAATGAAGAAATTACCCCTCCCCCAGCATGTGTTTTTAAGACAAAAATACTATTTAAAAAGTTTGGACACTTTTGGAGTGCTTGTCTCATGAAGGGGACTTTGTAGCAGGACAGTGTTTCGTAGATAAGTATTCAAAATACATTTCTACTTCCTTATATCAAACAAACTATTTGATGCACCAAGCCCTTCACTTTAATAACCAAAAGTAGTAAAACATGCAGTTTGCAAGAGTTTGCTTTGAACAAAGAAACTTAGATTTATGCAGTTGAGTTTGACCATGAAAACATAGCTACTGAGTTTTATATCAAGCTATAGCTGAACCATGTCATTTGGGTTTAAAAAAGTTGCTGTATCTCAATGTAAAAAAAACAAACATTTATGAGCTGTGAAAATGAATGTAATTCACATGATAAATTTACTCAAATCAAAATGGTGATGCAAAAACATTTTTGGAAATTTGTTGAATTAAAAAGGGAATGGCCTATTAATGTTATTAGTCGATTTTGTAGTAGAAGTCAACCAATTCGTTTATGACGCTGATCAGGAAATTCTGCTTAATAGTCAAGTAAATAAATTTGAGGGATTAGATGCTTATGATTGTGAATTAGATTGTGAATTATTGTTTTGTTATGAAAATAAAAATTAACATTGAAGATTTTTGTTTCTATATGCTGTCAATTATGGTTCTTAAAGAAAATCAGAATCTGCATCGGCATGTCATGCTTGCAAAAAAAATCAGAATCGGCCTACAAAATTTCAATCAGTGCATCTCTACTTAAATATTATTAATATTAATTATTAATTTTCTTCACATTTGCTTTGCACCACCTGACTAACATTTTTGTACTTTGAGATGAAAAACTGTGGACGCTGTATATTATTTGATTGTATTGAAAATATATTCATATTAAAGAGGTTTAATTAATACAATAATGTTATGCATGATCTGTATTTATTAAATGATTAAAAAATGGACAAATGTCGTTCACCCTAAAGCAAATTATTCTCAATTAGACAATGTTGCTGTTTGGGTCTTGTGAGCACAGTAGCCCTAATGACAGTGTGTTTGTGTTGCAGTTTGTACGATATGGCAATCATAGGTGGTGGAATTGTTGGCCTGGCAGCAGCAAGGGAGCTTATCCTTAGACATCCTACACTAAGCTTTGTACTGCTGGAAAAAGAAAAAGAACTTGGTATGACAGGGTACCTTTGGGCATTACAGAAAGGAATTAATTGGCATAAGAGTATCAAAAATCAATGTATACAAGTCAGCAGTTTGCCAATACACAGAAATGCCTGTTTTTAAAGTAAATGAAAACACAGTGCAATAATATAAAATTTAATTTTACTTAAATAGCACATTTCTACAACGTTACATTGTCAAAAAGTGTTTTATGTTATCCGTACCCCAAAGCTCCCCAGTTAGTAATTCAAGAAGCAGAATTTTCATGAATGATAAAACTTGCCTAGCAAATCTTGTGTCCATCTGCTGTGAGCACTGTATCTGAAATAGTATTTTGGTAATATTCAAATACCCCATTAATGAAGCCCAGATTTATTGATCCCCAGGAAAAATTTGCAGCTAGGTGCACTTATTTGCAATTACTTTCTATGAGCAAAAAATTTGTTTTAGTTTACAACAATGTAAGGCTTGCAAGATGACAGACTGCCTGGGATTTAACAATACCAGTGAAGAGGATCAAAAGGAAACATGGCTGTTTTAGTGTAAGCATTGGGTATGACGTTAAACTGCATCCAGCCCTGCAAGCGGTCCTCCAAAGGGAAAGGGAAAATTTGGGGGGTTTGGTGGCGGGATTGGCACTCCCGTTGGTACACACTCTGAAGGGACAAGGGGACCCCTCAGTCAAAACCGGTGGAGAGCCAATACAGACAGGCCAGTTGGGGATCAGAATTGGTGTGGTGCTAAGGACTCACCCGCTGCACGTCAACACTCGGGTCCAGTATTGAGGCAGTCCATCCAGGTAGGCATTCGGGTTGTCTATTTGGTGTGTTGGCCATCTTCTACTGCTATCGGGAGAGTTTTGTAAACTCTGCATTTTAGTGGCAGCACTCTCTGAGGTATGCAGACTGGGGAGTGGCTAGATCTCTGTTGGTGGGTACACCTATTATTGGTCTGGTCTCTCTGATGGCTGTCATGCTCACGGAGTAGCTGTTGCTGTGACTTCTCCCTATGGTGTCTGAAGTTACTCCTTTCAATGAGCGTATTATGATCCTCATATAAGGCACTCTCTGGGTGTGTCTTCTGTTTCTGTATATGATCTGACTGTGGTCAGTGATATCCCAGTGAGGGAGACATTTTACTTGCATCATTGCTCATTGGGTGATGGGTGTCCACTAGAGGTCGACCGATATGGGTTTTTCAATAGCCGATGCTGATAGCAATATTTAGGAGTCAGGGTTAGCCGATGGCCGATATATGCTGCCGATTTATTTATTTATTTATTATTTTTTTGGCCGATAATTGGACATTTTTCCCTCTATTTGCATGGTAAAATATCACACTAATAACAAACGATACACAAAATTTCTCAACTTAGCATTTATTGAATACTGACTGTAAATTTAAATATAAACTTAACAAAAACACAATACAATTTGTAAACAATAACTTAAACTTGGCTTGGTGAAATGCTGCCATACAGGATTAGATTTTTGTTCAGCCATCAGACAGCAATTACGAAAACAGAAGAAAAAATGCAAGGTTAGCATTTTTATTATAGTGCCCTCTTCAATTCATTCCACAATTCCGGTATTCCATGCTCATTAAAACAATTACACTCTAATACATTTTGAAAGAAAAAAAAACACTAGTAACTAAGTGCATCATGGTATGATGAGTAGTGTACAAGGCCCAAAACCTTTCAGTAACATGTTATGTTAGCAGACGGATAGTTTACAAGCCAAACTCACAATCAGAATCTAGCGATCGCGGAAAATAAAATATCTTTGATGTATTACAGTCTTGTATGCAAGGACAACGTAAGCCCCTAGATTCAAGTGAATGGTAACCACGCTTTCGGACAGACAGTTTCTCTGCCATGCATTGTTCTTAGCAGCTCTGTGTCTCCGAGGACGGTGCTGTCTGTGATCGGGGCAGAGTAACTCACATATGCTGCAGTGTTTGAGAGAGCTGCCTGCTCTGCCCTACACACAGAGTGAAACTCAAAAACAGAATTGATAACATCGAGCTGATATGGTAATAATTAAAATTTTAACAATTAAAATTATTTTTAACAATTAAAAAAACGTCCGTGATTATCATTACGCCAGTTCCCAACAGGGTAATTCGCGTTCTCTTTCAAAAGCGCTCGCGTTTTCTTTTAAAGCATATTTCATAGCAAACCAGTTAAATAAATAGGTCTTTGAAAGATCACAATTTAAGCCTTATCGTTTTCTCCCAGGACTCTTCCAAAACTTCTGGCTGCACAAGGCATCATGGGCCACGTGTTCCACAGCAACAATAACACTGGACTGTCCGCAGACCTGCCTGTCTCTAAATCGGCGTACTACCCTCGGATATCGGCCAATGCCGATACATTAAAAAATGCCAAATATCAGCCCGATATATCGGTCGACCTCTAGTGTCCACAAGGTGACTCTCCACTGCTCAAGAGTGACTATAAAGCAACCACTGGCACTAACGGCTGGGTGTGAGCAGCGTGTTGGTCCCCACAGGTCTGGTGACTGTGGTGAAAGTGGCTCCAAGTTCATTGACTTTGAAAAAGGTCAGTGTCTGCAGGTCGCTGGATCCTGGTTCCAGTGTCTTGAGCTCCATTATTGGACTTGATACTCCAGTAGTGGTGATGCAGCAAAAAAGATCACACAGATGCTGGAGGCTCCTACATAACTGTTTGCATGCAGTTTGTGTGAGGAATTTGCAAACTTGGGTGCAATTTCTGATCCTAATGTAATATGGGAGCCCTTCCGTGATAAGACCCTGAAGGTTGCTGAGGGTTGTGTTGGTGCTGCCTCTGTTTTCAGAAGGAGTGTTTCTTCTTGCAGAGCACCCTAGATAATGTTGAGAGGAGTTTCAGCTCACGGCTTGATTGTGATTCCGGTCTGTACTGCAAACTCAGAAGGACTGCTGCAAGGGCACTGAGGGCAGCTACGGAGACAATTGGAGGAATCTGTGAGCAAGTGAGACACCATCCAAATCTGCACAATTAGATCTGTTCCACAGACACCAAGTCTGTTCCTCAGAGAGTTGTGTTAGTCTGGATAGGTGATGGAATGGTCTTCTGGATGACTCTACAGTTGTGACCTGCTGGGCCACTTTGAGCAGAGGTTTAAGGCTGATCCTCCGACTAGGACATTGGACATTTCTGGGTTCACAGTTCTTGGGACTGATCCTCCGATTAGCTGTAAACCACCTAATCTGACTGAGATTGCATGGATAATGAACCAGATGGGGGTAGGGAAGGCTGCAAGGATCTATGATGTCCAGGGTGAACTTCTCCAGTCTGGTGGTAAGCCTGCCCTCCAGGCGTTGCAAGCAGTCTGCTCTTATTTGGGAGACGGGCATCGTCCCAACTGACTGGAAAACAGGATTTGTCTATCGGGTAAGGGAAGGGTGATCACCTGGATTCCAGCAACTGTAGGTGGACAACAACACTCTTACTGGCTGGCAATGTCCTTGATTGGAGTAGTGTCTGAAGCAGTCTGGTTTTATGCCTAAAAAGTCAACCATTGACCACATCCTGGCTCAGAGTTCTCGTTGGTCACGAACATGAAATTCAGCAGTTTCTTTGCAGCCTTTTGGAAAAGTGTTAGACTCCATTGAATGAGCTGCCCTGTGGGACATCCTTAGACTGTGTGGGATTCCCCAGAAATTGCTGGATGTCATGGCTAGCCTGTATACCAGTTCTGTGAGTGCTGTGCAGAGTGGTGGCAGAACCTCTGTGTTCTTCCCATTGGATTCTGCAGTTTTGCAGGAGTGTTGCTCCTACTCTGTTCAATTCTTACATGGACTGGGTGTTGGGCAGGGTGATAGGGTTCTGCAACTTTCTGGAATCTGTTGGTGTGAAAAGATTTACTGACCTTGACTTTGCTGACGATGCTGTGTTCTTTGAAGAGTCAATGGAGGCTCTTCATGGGGTTCTTGAGAGACTGAGTGAGGAATCTGAGTGCCTGGGTTTGCAAGTAACCTGAATCAAAAGTATGATCCAGGCCTTTAATGACACAGCCATCAGCAGTGTGTATTTTTAGTGGTTCACTTACCTTGGCAGTGACATACATATCTCTGGTGGTTCTTCCTAAGAAGTTAGTAGATGGATTGGGAGAGCATGCAGGGTCATGAGGTCGCTGGAATGGAATGTGTGGTACTCCTGATATCTTTGTAAGAGGATGAAGGTCCGGGTCTTTAGAGTCCTGGTGCTCTCGTTCTTGCTGTATGACTGCGAGACATGGACGCTATCAAGTGACCTGAGATGAATACTGGAGTTCTTTGGTACTTTGTCTCTTCATAGAATCCATGGATAGCACTGGTTTGACTTTGTGTTGAATGAGGGTCAGGAAGTCCCGAATGAGACACATTACTTACATTGGAAAAGTGTTTCAGATACGGTACTGCAACCATGTGGTGCATTTCTCTAAGGGTGATCCAGCTTGCAGGCATTGCTGGGGACCCGAGCGATTCGACTAGGCCAAGGGGACGCCCTTATAACACCTGGCTGTGGCAGATAGATAGATTGCCAACTGTAATCCTGAGTCGTTTCGCTGTGTGATGGACATGGCACCATGCTGTATCAGTTCATGCTCCCCAACCTGACCTGGCCTGATTGGGAGAAAACACAAAACCAAAACTGGCATCATCTCATAGAAAGGTTACATGAAATAAGTTGTCATATCAGGGTTTCTAGAAACATTTCCTGAGGATTTAAGGAAAACCTCAACTGGGGACCAAAATAATGTGAACTTGTTTGGCTTTGCATCATCTCTTTTATAATTTGGTATTTGAACCATAAGAAAATTGCCTGTACTATGATAAGCATTTTTCCTTTTCACTAGCTCTACATCAGAGTGGACACAACAGTGGAGTAATCCATAGTGGTATTTACTACACCCCTGGTTCCCTGAAGGCCAAACTGTGTGTGCGGGGTGCCACACTTACTTATGAATACTGTGAAAAGAATGGCATCCCCTATAAAAGGTGTGGCAAGGTGAGGTGCAACTCTTGTTCAAAAAGACACATTTGAAACAAAATAAGCCAATTGTATCCTACACTGATAAGCTACACTTTTATTGACATTAGCCATTGACTGAAGTTTTGTTGATAATTACATCAATTTGTTACATCAATTGGAATGTTTTTTAATTGTGGTAAATGGTAGTGAAGCTGAATGCCCACGCAACTAAACATTTTCTGTCATAGTCCATTGGGTTGTCTGTTTTTATGTACCTGTGGATGGATAAGACTGGTAGAATTTAGTGTGTGGATTTATTTTTTATGATAATTGGGTTTCATGAATTTATGTTTCCAGCTGATTGTAGCAGTAGAGAGGGAAGAGATTCCAAGACTAAAGGCCCTCTATGAGCGTGGCCAAAGCAACAATGTGCGAGACCTCTGCATAATTGATGCTAAAGGAATTAGGGAACGAGAACCCTACTGCAGGGTGAGAGAGAGCCTCAAAATTTGTTTGAAGCTTTTCATAAAAATCTAAATTTGGTATGTGGGACTGATGTAACTAGTTTTTTTCTTAGGGGCTAATGGCTATTGATTCACCCTACACTGGCATTGTGGATTGGCATCTGGTGTCTCTTACCTATGGAAGAGATTTCCAAGCAGCAGGTGGTACTGTAATTACAGAATTTGAGGCTGCTGCAATTTCATCTGTGCCTGAGAGCCCAGCTGGCGATACCAGTGGTAAAAGATGTGACTAATCTCTTCTGGCTTTTGCAATAAAAAATCTTGCATTGGTCCTTGTTCCTCACTTAAGTTCTGAACTTGGATGTTTGTTCTTGTGAACTAAATATTATTTTCACTTTTATTTTTAGGTATTAAATTTCCTATATCAGTTAAAAGTTTAAAGGTAAGTCTTGGTTCCTCTTACATTTATTTCAAAGGACTCTGAGTTTGGAATCAAGTTTTAACACTGTATTGTGATTTATAATGACTTTCTGGGTTGTCCTAGGGGGATGAAGTACAGTGTCGTTATGTATTGACCTGCGGGGGTCTTTACTCTGATCGTCTGTCTGAAATCTCTGGCTGCAGTCCTGAGCCTCGCATCGTCCCATTCAGAGGGGACTATCTGGTCCTGAAGCCAGAGAAACATTACCTTGTCAGAGGCAACATTTACCCTGTCAGTGACCTGACCGCCATTAGATTGAAATCTTTTCTAAAAATGGTCATTTGGGGAAGTATGTGTGTGATATGTCCTCATGAATTTTTCAGGTACCTGATCCTCGTTTCCCCTTTCTTGGGGTTCATTTCACCCCTCGAATGGATGGCAGTGTGTGGCTTGGACCCAATGCTCTTTTAGCCTTCAAACGTGAGGGCTATAGGCCCTTTGACTTTGACCTCTGGGATTCAATAGATGCTCTGTCTTACAGGTACTCACATTTATGTTATTTAGACATCCTCACACATACAGTAAAAACTCGGATTGCAAGCATAATTCATTTTGGAAACATGCTCGTAATCCAAAGCACTCGTATATCAAAGTGAATTTTCCCATTAGAGATAATGGAAACTCAGATGATTCGTTCCACAACCCAAACATATTCATATAAAAATGATTAATACAAAATAAAGTAAAAATACATAAAACAAATTAACCTGTACTTTACCTTTGAAAAGAATCGTGGATGTTGTGAGGGAGATGAGAGAGAGAGAGAAGAAGAGGATGGTTATTTTGTAGGACGACTTTCATTATAACTAACAGAATCACTGCTATCTGTTGGCTCACTGGAATCGATTACCCACAATCCCGCAGTGTGAGAGAGAGAGAGAGAACCATCGGCTCAGTTGTGATTACGTGATGCTCGGCAGACAGAGCTAGTATACGTAATACTCGTATTGCAAGACATCGCTCGTTTATCAAGTTAAAATTTATTAAAAAATTTTGCTAGTCTTGCAAAACACTCGCAAACCAAGTTACTCACAATCAGGGCTGTGGAGTCGGTAGATAAATGCTCCGACTCCGACTCCTCAGTTTCTAAATCTTCCGACTCCCCGACTTCTACTCCTCTGTATGTATATACTATGCTAATGTATTTTCTACATCCATTGAAAGAAAGGAAGGCAACATACATGTCATTTCACCACAGAACTACTGGCTAGGAAGCCAACACTCTACTATAATGCCAGATTAAAGACAAACACAATGAAAACAAAGATTTTGCCACCGACCGATGTGCGTGTACAATCGCGGCAATTGATTGGGAATGTCCACATGGACGGGCAGATCCAGCTTGCCGAAAATCTCGACCACCGCCCCCATCCAATGTAATGTGATGCCTCTGTCTGCTGCAGTGGCTGTCTCCTCTGTCAGCCAGCCGGAAGTTTAGTGCATTGTGTCACTCACCGGCCAGCTGATCAGCAGAACGAGCCTCTGCTGGAGACAGGTAGGGAGATCTGTGTTCTCGGCTCCTTCGGCCCCCTTCACTAGCGCATAGCGAAGGGGAGCCGACGGAGCTGAGAACACACCAGATGATTTTTCAGGCGTTTGACGCGTGATGACTCGTTGAACGGCCGAAAAATCGGCAGTGCATCTGTAAATGTATGGGGGGCTTTAGGCTAGGTTCACAGTTCCCTGTAACAGTGGAACACGACACAATGGAAAGCGGTGCCGCACCTTACCTGTGCATTACATCCCATATAGTGACGCATACAGTCAATGAAAAGCATGCTTCATGGTTACTTGACATGTTCGTTTTGTGGTAACATTATGCACTGCATGCATTGGGCTTTATTCTTACAGCAGAAAAGTAGTTCATTATGACTGTTTGTGAATTGGGACATTTCAACTTACTTTTTTAATTCCCATTTAAATTTAGTAGGAGTCGGAGTCGGTTAACTTTTTGCCGACTCCGACTCCAGGTACCCAAAATTGTCTCCGACTCCGACTCCTCGACTCCGACTCCACAGCCCTGCTCACAATTAATATGTAAAATATTGATAATTAAAAGGAATATTGAAAATATACTTTTCAATATGTAAAATGTAAGAAACTGTTGGCTCATGTCAGATAAAACACAGGTTTGTAACAGAACACTCTGTGACCTTGCATCTAAGGGCTGTTTTCCACTGCACCATGTACCAAACTTTTGGTACTAAGAAAATTGGTACCGCTCTTTCCATTGATTGTCCAGTACCATTACCGAAGTACAAGATCAGCTGGGGTACTCATTTGGTACTTTGATTGGTAATGAAATTAATCTGCCTTGCAAGCACAAAATACAACCGCTATCTTGAAAAAGTATACTTATGAACTGAGAATACAACAATTATTATTATTTTTATATATATATAATGGATATTTGGACAAACGAAGAGACTCAAGCTTGAATTGCAGTCTGGTCAGAAAAACAGATTCAATGAGATGTGGCTGCCATGACAAGAACTTAATAGTATTTTCTATAATATACTAGGGCTGCACGACTAAAAAAATCAGATATCTGAAATTTTGCTTTAACATTCCTCAACATTGTGATGGTATGTAAAAGACTGATTTCAACCTAGCTATTGCGGTCCTTGCCATTTGAGAACTGCATGTGTATAACATCTGATGTCGATATTAATATGGCCCATCACCTAGCCCTATACCCATTTTTGAATTCAGTACAAAACTCCCCCTTCACGTGTTGTGATGATGTCATTAGTGGAAAACTAACACGAGACGTGTTGGTGACTTACCCGCGTGAAGTTGGCCCCCCATATGTTTCAGATTTCAACCAAACTGGTCTCAATCATATTTGTCGCGTTTGTGCCGGATTGTGCCATTAAAATTTTTGTTTGTGCTGCTTTAGTTTCTGAGATATAAATGTTTGTTTACATGGTCACGTGACACCAGCGTGAAGGCCCCCCATTTGTGTCTGATTTCCACCAAACCGATCGCAATCCTATGTACTGCGTTTGTGCTGGTTTGTGCCGTTAAAACTGTCCTTTGTGCTGCTTTAGTTTCTGAGATATCCAGTCCTTTTTACCAATTTAAACACCTCTATAGGACCAGTATAACCAGTACAATGCAGTTCACCCATTGCCAAAAAGTGATTGAAGTCAAAACCTTTTTACTGAATGGCTCTTTCTGCCTGATTTTAATTGTTTTGCACTCTTCTGGGTTATATTTACAGGATTAGATTTCTTAAGTTTAGGAGTGTTCTTATCTTTGATAAATGTTTTTGGACATAGGGTTTTCTTAATCTCTCCCCAAAAAACACAGATGCAAAAAAATACAAATCAAAACAGAACTTAAGTATATTACTTTCAATAAAGTTATTTTTCAATACTTAGTGCTAAAATAAAAACAGATGCTTGCAAGACCAAAATATATAAAAAAAAAACGATATACATGCAAAAAGAACTACTATATTTACAAGACACCAGGGTAAAGTTGGAATTATTGTGTGTGGCTCACTAGCTGATAACGATAGTGGTTGAAACTAATATTACTAATGTCTGACCAACACAAATTTCTTGTATTCCAAACATACTTTGCAAACAAACAATTTCTGAGGAAGATTCTGATATAAAATCACTTTTAAAAGATTTTGACTATTTGTGTAGTTATTAAAGGCACAGTTAAAATGCTCTAATAAGGACAACCCTTGTGGGTTACTTGACACTCATTAAAGCTTTGTTGCGTTAAGGTAACAAAAAAAGACATACTTTTTCTGCAACAGGTAAAAGATGTTTCAACCACTTACTAAATTCTGTTTTGATTTGTATTTTTTTGCATCTATGATTTTTGGGGAAGGATTAAGAAAACCCTATGTCCAACCACATTTATCGAAGATAAGAACACTCCTAAACTTATTAAGAAATCTAATCATGTAAATATAACCCAGAAAATTGTAGAAAATTAGTCAGACAGAAAGAGTCATTCAGTAAAAAGGTATTGACTAATCACTTTTTGGCAATGGGTGAACTACTGGTCCTATAGAGGCGTTTAAAGTGGTAAAAAGGACTGGATAGTTGATACTGCAGCACAGAGCATGCAGGAAAAACCCACTGACCCTCTAATATGACTGTAAGATGAAGAATTGTATTTATTTAATAAGTAGGCTAATCCACATCGGTTGTGCAGTGAAACTCATTTAGATGTAGGAACATTTATAAACATATGTCTACATTAATGTGTCGCATTTGAACTTCCATGGCTTCATGACATAAGGTTACAGTTTTACAACGCAGTTACGGCCGAGGACTGCTTTAAAGCGTTTTACATGACAATGGCTTCCTTTGACTTTTATTGCAATTATTTATTTAAAAATTCACCAAACCCTTAAATCTGACAAAGACATACCTTCGCTATTAGCTCGGGGATATACACTCACCTAAAGGATTATTAGGAACACCTGTTCAATTTCTCATTAATGCAATTATCTAATCAACCAATCACATGGCAGTTGCTT